AAATTTCTCAAATCTCATATGCTATATCAACAAGTAAGATATATAAAGTGCTATCTCAAACAGATAAGAAATATCATATAAATGCCAGGTCTCAACTAAAAGGGAAATCTCATGATTATTCGAAATTCTAGCAATTTTATGCACGAGTTATGACGAGGTCGTACGTCCTGATCCAAAATAATGTGTACATTGCTGAGGATCGATCGATGCGAACCATAGATACATCTCAAATATACTGCGGAGGCATTCGGCTTGATCCATAAGAAGAGAAGAAACTTATAGAATTGCTAGCCATGTGTTTGTAACACAAAAATGGGAACATAAAGTAAGCATAACTGTTACCAACGATCAAATATCCCGCCACACACCTCAAGGTAACGAGGTTCGTTCTAACATTATCTCTAATCACATTAAATTTACAAGTTTTTCATAATTAAACTAACAAGTTGAGTTCAGGTAATACAAATATCACATAATAAAGTCCTAGGTCTCCCCGGACATAAGCATGATTTTAGCTACGTACGGACTTTATCACCTCGTATGTATGTAACTCCCATAATAAGTAGCATGTAACAAATACATTACCTATAGGGTAGTTCCCCCTCACAAGGTTAGAGAGGAGACTTACCTCACTCCGAAATCCGGTAACCGGCTCCTACGCCTCTCTAACACCTCAAATCGATTACAAGCTATCCAAAGCTAATCAAACAATGTGCAAACTAATCACAATATACTCCAATACTCATAATTTAACAATTTATAACAATTCCCAACTTTGCTCGAAAAGTCAATAAAGTCAACCCTCGGGTCCACTTGCTCGGATTCCCATAATTATCAAAAACAAGTATTACCCATAACTTATATAGTCTATATCCATAAAATCATCCAATTTTGTCCATTAATTGACCTTCAAATCAAGGATTTATCATTTCTCAACTTTGGGGCTTAAAATTCCAATTTCTACAATCCAAACACATATAAAATTAGTAAATGTATACGGAGAATCCGAGGGCTCGATTTCCCCGTCATAGGGCCGTCTCGCGGTCATTCCCCTCAAAGCTCGAAGCCAAGGTCGAGACTTATCCTCGGGGTTTGACAGATATCGGTCCGAAGGGCATCACATTCCGACAAATATAGCGGGCTACAGTAGGCGAGAGGGGAGTTCCCAAGGCACCCAGCTTAACCTGACAAGGCTGGCCTATCCAGGGCCTATTTTCAAGATATCACGTCTAGCCATCCTATCTCCGTACCTTCACGGTTAACACGTTTTGTATTATAATGGATTCCCCTCCTATATAAAGGAGGTCCTCATCATTTGTAAGCCCCCGGCTGATGTTGCTCCAACTATTTCTCCACAAGATCAATAATATCTCTCTCTCTTCTCTCTAACTCACTTGCTCTCACTGGCTCGAGGCCTCTTTAGCATTTATCACTTTCTTACTTGTTCTTTATTTATCACTTGGCCTTAGCCATATAGAGCTTTGTTTGATCATAACCTAACTGTTATCCCATTCCCGACTATCCCCGATAGCTCGAGATCGACCCGGATATTGACCCCAAGGTCCCCCACCGACCAGTCCTATACCCGGGCAGCAAGCCTCTCGGTTTGATTACTTCCTCGTTTTAGCTTGCATTTCATCATTAAACTTCATATTCCTAGCATCATCTGCTCTAACAACTAGCATAAAAATCGATCACATATTTTTAGAATCCCATTTACAAATTTAATTATTGTTACCATTTTCAAGGTAAACAGTTTGGTGCCTACCGTGGGGCTAAAAATAATAGTGATTATTTTCTTGCTAGTTTCATTGCAAAAACGCAAGTTATCTTTCACACTCTTTATTGCCCAAGATCTTCGCTTTCAGGATAGAGCACCTGGCTCGGCTAGTGAAATGGGAAACCGGAACCTCAAAAGCGATAGAGAAAAGGGCACGACTGCCCTAGTGGCCGGTACACCACCTGGTTCAACCTGGACGGAAGGGAAGGTTCTCCAACATAATGTCCACATGATTATTGGTGGAACCAACGTTCCCCAAGGGCCCATGTCCAAACTAATGAGAACTTCTGCTACGGAAGAGGGACCAACCAGACAACACTTACTCGAAGAAACCCTTTTATTCAACAAAGAGGATCTCGAGGCTATGATGGAACAGCACAACGATGTGCTAGTAATTTTGTTTCTCTTAAGCAACACCAGGATAAAGCGCGTGCTCGTGGATCCAGGCAGCTAGGACAACATAATCAGGTTAGAAGTAGTAGAACAACTAGGCCTGCACAATCAAGTTGTTCCCACCCCTCGAATCCTCCACGGCTTCAACATGATCGGAGAAGAAACAAAAGGAGAGATCACCCTCCCGATCGACACGTCTGGCATAATCCAAAACACCAGGTTTCAGGTCATCGACGGAGACGTGAGATACAACGCCTTACTTGGCAGGCCTTGGATACACAACATAAGGGCAGTGCCCTCGACCTTGCACCAGATGATAAGGTTTCACACGATGGATGACATCACGACAATACATGGAGAATAGCGGGTAGCGAGGAAAATGTTCGCGGTCCACCCCGAGATGCCAATCCCCACATGCCCGGTCTTGGGCGAGGAGGGAAGCGTGCAGACCCTTGAAGACGACGGGGAAGACTTCTTCTCCCCCCGAACCTTCGTCACCCCTAAGGAATTGGATGCGACCAAGTCAACAGTCGAAGAGCTGGAGCATACCGTTTTGATCGAGCACCTCCTGGATCGCAAGGTATATCTGGGAATAGGACTGACCCCCGAACTCAGGACAGGGTTTATTCAATTTCTTAGTAACAATATCGACTGTTTCTCCTGATCCCACCTTGATATGATAGGTATCCCACCGGAAATAACCTCCCATAGGCTAAGTGTTGATCCCAAATTCAAATTCGTGAAGCAAAAGAGAAGACTGCAATCTGAGGTAAAACATGACTTCATCAAAGAGGAGGTAGCAAAACTCCTTAGAATCGGATCCATTAGGGAGGTAAAGTATCCCGAATGGCTAGCTAACCTAGTGGTAGTGCCAAAAAGGGGGAACAAGCTGAGGATGTGCATAGATTATAAAGATTTGAATAAAGCGTTCCCCAAAGATTCCTTCCCATTGCCTAATATCGATCGTCTGATCGATGCTACGGACGGCCACGAGACCCTCACTTTCCTCGATGCCTACTCAGGGTACAATCAAATCAAGACGTACCCCAAGGACAGGAAAAGGCCTCATTCATCACGAAATATTATAGATATTGCTATAACGTAATGCCCTTTGGGCTAAACAATGCGGGAGCAACATACTAGCGCCTAGTTAATAAAATGTTCGAGCATCAAGTAGGTAAATCAATGGAGGTATATATTGATGATATGCTAGTCAAATCCCTGCGCGCAGAGGACCATCTGACCCATTTGCAGGAAACTTTCAATATCCTCAGAAGCTACAACATGAAGCTCAATCCTGAGAAGTGTGCCTTTGGACTAGGCTCGGGCAAATTCCTGGGCTTCATGGTTTCAAATAGGGGGATCAAGATCAACCCCGACAGAATAAAGGCCTTCGAAAAGATCACAGTGGTCAACAATTTAAAAGCCGTTCAACTGCTGAAAAGGCGGATCGCGACCTTGGGCAGATTCATATCGAGATCATCAGACAAAAGCCACCATTTCTTTGCCCTACTCAAAAGAAAGAGCAACTTCGAATGGACTCCAGAATTCCAACACACCCTAGAAGAACTGAAACGGTACCTGTCCAGCTCGCCTTTGCTGCACACAACCAAGGAGGATGAAACACTATACCTATACCTAGCCGTATCCGAAATAGCGGTAAGCGGCGTACTGGTTTAAGAAGAGAAAGGTACGCAATTTCTTATTTATTATGTTAGCCGAACCTTAGGGGACGCCGAAACTCGGTACCCCCATCTGGAAAAATTAGCCCTCGCACTGATAAGCACTTTGCGCAAGCTGAAGCCTTACTTTCAGTGCCATTGTATCTGTGTCCTGTCAACTTATCCCCTCCGGAGTGTACTGCATAAACCTGAGTTATTGGGTCGATTCTCTAAATAGTCCATTGAACTTGAGGGTTATGATATCGAGTATCAATGTCGGACAACCATCAAGTCCCAAATACTGGCGGATTTCTTAGCTGATTTCTCGCCATCCCTCGTGCCTGAGGTAGAGAATGAACTTTTATTAAAATCAGGCACGTCCTCCAGGGTATGGACCCTGTTCATAGATGGTGCCACAAACATAAGAGGATCCAGACTCGGTATAGTCCTAAAGCCGCCCATCGGCGGCATAATCAGGCAATCCATAAAAACCACAAAACTAACTAATAATGAAGCCGAGTATAAGGCTATGATTGCAGGTTTAGAGTTGGCTAAAAGTTTGGGAGCCAAGACTGTCGAGGCAAAATGCGATTAGCTCCTCGTGGTAAGCCAAGTGAACGGAAGCTACGAAGCCCAAGAGGACATGATGTACTTGGACAAAACCAAAATCACATTACATCGCTTTAAAGAATGGACCTTAGTCCATGTACCCCGATAGTAGAACAGCGAGGCCGATGCCCTCGCAAATCTGGGATCCTCCACTGAAGAAGAAGACCTGCTCCCGGAGCTGTCGTCCAAATGTTTAGATCTGTGGTCGAGGAAGGTCACACAGAAATTAACTCCACCAGCCTGACATGGGATTGGAGAAACAAATACATTGTTTATCTGAAGGACGGGAAGCTACCCGTAGATCCAAAAGAATCGAGGGCCCTGCGAATTAAGGCGGCCCGGTTCTCGCTCGACAAAAATGGGGCTCTGTACAGGAGAACTTTTGATGGCCCCCTAGTGATATGCTTGGGACTGGGTGACACAGATTATGTGCTCCGAGAGATCCACGAGGGAACCTACGGAAATCACTTCGGGGCCGACTCCTTAGTCCGAAAGGTGATCAAAGCGGGCTACTATTGGGACAGCATGGAAAAAGACGTCAGGGAATTCGTCTGAAAATGCGACAAGTGTCAGAGGTTCGCTCCCATGATCCACCAGCCCAGCGAACAATTGCATTCCGTTTTAACACCATGGCCATTCATGAAATGGGGAATGGACATCGTCGGCCCTTTGCTAACGGCGCCAGGTAAGGCTAGATTCATTCTGTTTATGACTGATTGCTTCTCAAAATGGGTGGAAACACAGGCTTTCGAGAAAATAAGAGAGAAGGAAGTCATCAATTTTATATGGGAACACATCATATGCCGGTTCGGGATACCATCCAAAATAACATGCGACACCGGGAGGCAATTCATCGGGAGAAAGGTAACACAGTTCCTTGAAGACAACAAAATCAAAAGAATCCTGTCGACGCCATACCACCCGTGTGCAAACGGCCAGGCTGAATCTACGAATAAAACCATCATTCAAAACTTGAAAAAGAAATTGGAGAGCACCAAGGGAAAATGGATAGAAAGGCTGCCCGAGGTGCTATGGTCATATCAGACAACTCCAAAATCAAGCACCGGGAAGACACCCTTATCTCTAGTATATGGCGCCAAAGAACTAATACCAGTGGAGGTCGGGGAACCAAGCGCCAGATTCCGGCACACCAATGAGGGATCGAACAATGAAACCATGGCAACTGCCCTCGAGCTACTAGTTCGGATGGCTGCCCAGAAGCAGAAAAACAAAAGATACTACAATAGAAGAACAAATATCCGATACTTCGGGATCAGAGACTTGGTCTTGAGGAAGGTTACTCTCAACACCCGAAACCCTAATGAAGGGAAGTTGGGCCAGAATTAGGAAGGGTCGTACCATATCCTTGGGATAGTTGGCAAAGGATCCTACAAGCTTGGCACCATGGAGGGCGAACAACTTCCGACTAACTGGAATGTATCTATGCTTAAGCGGTATTACTACTAGGGCGTTCGATTGATAAACCCCACAAATATCCTTGAGCAAACGTCACACTCTTTTCCTTCGACCGGGTCTTTTTATCCCGAAACAGGTTTTTGCCGGCAAGGTTTTTAACGAGGCAACGTCCACGCACTTCCCAAGAAAGATTCAAAGAGCCTACAAGACTTCCTTTGCAATTATCCCCGCCCCGAGAAAATGACGAACGAGGCTCCGATAGGAAATAATGTACCAGATCAAACGGTCCAAGAAGCCGCGCGTGCGCGAGCCGAGCTCACAACAATGAAGAAGCATGTATTTATGCCAAGCAATAAAAGAATATCTTTTAGCATCTCATACTCCAACAAAGGAAATCTCAGTATACTCTCAACAAAGATCCCTCCATCAAATGCGTCCCGAAATACTCGGAGACTTAGCGTCAATAATTTGACACCCGCTCGACCCCGGGGTTGGAACTCCGGGCTCATAAGGTCCCAAAAAGGCAACTCCGAGCTCACGAATAGCGGCCTTCGAGCATAAGAAAACTCGATGACTCAGAGATTGTCATCAATTGCCATGCACTGGAAAACCTGAAACTGTAAGACCCCAAGCGGGCAGACTCGGCGTAACCAGATCTATTCTACATAGCAACAAAAACTGTAAGACCACAACATGCATGACAAACTGTAAGACCTCAACATGCATGACAAACTATAAGACCTCAATAGGCATGACAAACTGTAAGACCTCAAAAGGCATGAAAATTTTGTAAGACCTTACTACAGGCATAAAACTCAAAATCCTGAAGTTTAGGCTATACGTCACATTTGTAAGAATCCTGAAAGGGCATACCCTCAGTGTAGACGCCTAAACTATCACTCGAGATCAAAATGGTTCCGGCCAAACACATATGACTACGGTCAAAATAGCTAATCCAGCCAAATTAATGCGACTCAAGGATGCCTGACTGTCGCTAAACAAAATCATAGGCCATTACTTCGAATATACTTCGGAAAGAATCGGTTAAAACAGGCTTCCCTCAATAGGAAAATGAGCTTCGACCATGTCAGCTCCAAATCACAAGGCTTCGATCTACTCGGCCTACGAGCTAAAAACCTTCCGAGGTGCTCAAACATCGCCGCTAATGACTTGAAATCGAGGTTCTTCCCGAACAGACGATGGGTCAGGAAAAATATTTTCAAAAAAGACCTTAACGAGAGGAATACAAAGCCTACAAAATGCCTACGAGGAAAAGTGTAAGATCCATTGTCGCCAGCCAAATAAGCCTCCGGGCCGCACACTAAAAGGTCTCAATGACCAAAACTACGTAAGAGCCACTATCGCCAGCATAGAAATTGAAAACTTGAGGATTAAAATGATCTTGAGTCGTAACCCGATTCGGAGACCAGATCCAAAATAGTTAAACTACAACATGCTTAAGGGCAGTGTAAGCGCCATTGTCGCCAGCCAAACGAGCCTCCGGGCCACACACTTAAAAGGTCATTTCGACCCAAGGAGCAAGAGCCATCGTCATCCGCCCACGCAGGCACAAAAAGCTTGAGGGTCAATTAAAGCTCGAGTCGCAACACGACTCGGAGACTAAACCCAAAAACAAGCCGAATACAAATGCCCAAGGGCAAGTGATAAGAACCATCATCACCCAACCGCATAGGCACATGGGAGCGGAAATCAACAAGGTTCGGGACAAACTTGGCCCGAAAACTCAACGCAAATATGGTTGGGAAAAAGTGCAAGGCCCCTCACGTCAGTTCACACCAAAGGCCGCATTGACCAGCCGCATGACAACTCCCGAACTAGCCTAAACGGGCCTCAGGTCTAAGGTTCTTTCACCGATCCTTGATGGATTCATAGCGGAAAGGGGAATAAGAGAAACGAAGCCACATGATTCTTTTCATACATATGCCAAAATAAAAGTACTATATACAAACAAGGAGATCAACAGGAAAAAACAATAGGTCCTAATCTATTGCCAAACCGACAGCCTCAAAGGTTGCATCCAGGCGATTACGAGTCCCCTGACGGCCCTTTCTTGACGGTGTCACCTCTCTCCGGGGATCTACCCCCATTTTTAACACCGCTCGAGCTGCCTTCAAATGCGCCCCCGATGGTCAGCCTTCAGGAGCCCGACCAAGTACAATTCACGGCTCGAGGTAAACTTGGACCAGCCCCCTCGAACGTCCCCTCAACGCAAGAATCTGCGACGGCAGCTCCTCCCCCATGCAAAGATACAAGCTCCTCGGCCTCAGCTTTAATCCGAAACAATGCAGCCACCAGCTTGGAATGAAGGCCCTTATACTTGCCAATATCCTCCTTCACGTCCTATAGATGACGCTCGATCAAGGTAAATCTCCCCCTTAGGCTGTCCCTCTCGGAATCAACCTCACTCACATGCTGACTAAACTTGGAGATTTAAGCATCTCTGGCCCAAAGCTCCCCTCTCAGCAGGGCGTTCTCCTTCTCAAACTGCACAAATTGAGGCTCGAAGAGTTAAAAGCAATGGAATTTCTCAAGGGCTTAAATGATAATAAAAATAGGGGATGAATAACCTGTTCAGTGAAATACGCTTTCTCACGTTCATGAGGCTCACCTCATCCTGATACTGGGCGAGAGCCTGGTTATAGAGAGTTTCAGCCTGAAACTGCATAAAAAAGTTAGGAGAAAAAAGGCCGGAGCAAGCCGAAGTAGTAGACAAGGCTAGCTAAAGTTACCCCCTCACAAAGCCTGCCCATCTCGCTAAAAATTAATGAGGCGTTGGCCTTGGAACTATCCTCAAGAATGATCGCTGGCCTCTCGAGTGCGTTTTCGCCTTTGATCAGTGCTCTTGCCACAGAAGGATCCGTGCGAGACTCATCTAGCATTCCGTAAGACGGAAGGATCTCCCCCTTGGAGAATCAACAATAACCAACGAGCTACAGGGGTCAGCCAAAATCTCCATCCTCTGTTCATCCCGGGTCCCAGATCGAGGACCCTCCAAACTGCCTACCAAGGACATCCCGGCTCGAGGAGGACTCCGGCCATCTACCAATTTAAGGGCAGTGCTCGATACCCCATCCATTGCCTCACCGCCATAAAACTGGGCCGCGCCAGCATCAGACTCCTATCCGGAAGCATCTGTCCCCATGCCCGAGGATCAATCGATCCCAAACACTCTTTGGGGGGTGCCGAGAAGTCTCTTTCTCCCTCACCTTCAGCATGAGGATTTCCCGTCGCCCCGGAGGTCGAAACCGATGGTCAACCTTGGAATCATCCACCTTGATCCTCTTGGGCTCTGGTGGCTTAACCGATAGGCTCTCTTGCCTTTTCTTCTCCTCGTCAAGCATCAGAGTGTCCCCTCCAACGGACGGCACCTCCCTCGTCAGCAGGATTCCTCCTAGACCTACGTAGATCCAAAGGTTAAATGCACGAGATGGATAAAGCTACTAACAATAAGCTACATCAAAATGGACGGATGCATCAAGGCTCAAGGCTCACCGTGGTCTTCGACTTCCCACCGAGCTCGGGATTAATCCCGCCATGCTCGATCGGTATACGTGCAGATTGAGTACAAATGACCAACCCAACCCTGGAGATCAGACACCATGCTAGGATAGATCGCTACGGCTAAAAATACAAGAAAAGCAGAGTTAGACGCATGAGGAGAAATCACCAAGAAGGGGCAAAGACACCACGTTTACTTACACCCGGCATTCCACTTCTCAGGGAACGACATCTTTTCCACTAGGATCAGGTTAGACATCCTCACTTAGACGAATCGGCTTAACCCCTCGTCGTCCCTGAACTCCTCGGTGGAGGAAAAAAGGGATCTTAGGGCTCGACAATGAAGCTTGATTAAGCCCCTGCGAAGGAGACACAGACTATACATCAGGATCAAATGGTTCAGGGTGAAGGGAATTCCCTCTATCATGCTCGAGTAATGCCTGATCATATAAACCATACGCCAGAACGAAGGATGAACTTGACCTAGAGTTACCTGGTAACTCCGGCAGAAGTCGAGAATCACAAGGTAGATCGAGGGCGAGGATGGACCCACTGGCCCCAAAGTGAATGGGTAGGTGTACCCACTCAGAAAGACAGCCCTATGAGCCGTAATACCTTCATCCCGAGCGGGAATCTCCACGAGCACGGTATCTCCCCAGCAACAGTCGGCCTTCACTCTTTCAATATCCGTTATAGATCTGATATACCGAGTTACAGGCTCGCGACGCCCTGACTTCGAGGAAGGTCTCTCGACCCTACAATCGAAGGTCATCACAAAGGGTCCCGAGACGCACTCCTCAGCACGGGGGAGGGGGAGGGGGAGGGGNAACCTCCTGGGAAGTAGAAGTGGAAATATTCATCATCCTTGAGAAAATCTGAGGGAAGAAGAAAAGGGGGGTTGCATTCCTGAAAAAGAGCGAGAACGAGGGAAAATAAACCTCACTAAGGGTTTTTTGAACACGAAATGGAATCTAGAAAGGAAGAGGTGAGTATTTATAAAAGCACCATGGGTACATTGAAGGAAGCCAACCGCCGCAGTCAATGCTGAAATCTGCAGGAACGGTGCACATAGTGCGCCTTGATATCTCGTATCCATTCGCAAGGACACTAGAGGAAGTAGGAGTTCAGAACCATTTCTTATCGTTTCTTCTCGCCTTCACTCTAAGAAATGTGGAGACTATTTGTATACGGCGAATCCGGGGGCCCGATTTCCCCGTCATAGGGTCGTCTGCGGTCATGGCCCTCGAAGCTCAAAGCCAAGGTCGAGACTCATCCTCGGGGTTCGACAGATATCGATCTGAAGGGCATCACATTCCGATAAATACAGCGGGCTACAACAGGCGAGGGGGGGGGGGAGCTCCCAAGGCACGCGGCTTAACCTGACAAGGCTGACCTATCTAGGGCCTATTTTCAAGATATCACATCTAGCCATCCTATCTCCGTACCTTCACGGTTAACACATTTTGTATTATAACGGATTCCCCTACTATATAAAGGAGGTCCCCATCACTTTGTAAGCCCTTGGCTGATGTTGCTCCAACTATTTCTCTACAAGATCAATAATATCACTCTCTCTTTCTCTAACTCGCTTGCTCTCACTGGCTCGAGGCCACTTTAGCATTTATCGCTTTCTTACTTGTTCTTTATTTATTGCTTGGCCTTGTCCATATAGAGCTTTGTTTGATCATAACCTAACTGTTATCCCATTCCCGACTATCCCCGATAGCTCGAGCTCGGCCCGAATATTGACCCCGAGTCCCCCATCGACCAGTCCTATACCCGGGCAGCAGGCCTCTCGCTTTGATTACTGCCTTGGTTTAGCTTGCATTTCATCATTAAACTTCATATACCTAGCATCATCTGCTCTAACAACTAGCATAAAAATAGATCACGTATTTTTAGAATCCCATTTACAAATTTAATTGTTGTTACCATTTTTACGGTAAACAGTAACCATTGGAAATAATTATGGATAAAACATAAAAAGGTTTATATTTACCCCTTGTTGAGATGAGAACAACACCACGAAAAATCACCTCAAACGGAGCTCTAGAACTCAAGATATACACAAAATACTAAAATGCGTGGTCGGCCCATTTAAAACATTGCCGAGGTGATTTTTGTTCTTCGCATTTGCGAAGAGAAATTTTTTGTATTGACCGATCAGCCCATAGTTCCTTCTTCACATTCACGGGACCACTCTTGCATTCACGAAGAACAAAAGTTCGCACGAGAAACTAGCAATCTTTCCTAATACGAAAATGTGCATAACTCTATCATACTACCTCAGAATTTGACGATTCTTGTTGCTATGGTTCTGTAATTACGATATGGATCTAATGATTCATTATAATCATAAATTAAAGGTCTTTTTCTTAATATGGTACCCTTTATACCCAAATAAACGATGCCGAAACATCAAAAAAGAGCGGACACAACCCAAACCCATCTGAAATACACCCAGGCCCTCGAGGCCCCGTCCAATCACACCAACCAGTCTCAAAACATAACATGAACCTACTCAAGGACTCAAATCATATCAAATAATATCAAAACTATGAATCACACATCAATTAAATCCTAATGAACTAATAAACTTTTAAATTTCTAAAACTCATGCCGAACCATACCAAATCAACCCGGAATGACCTCAAATTTTACATGCAAGTACCAAATGACAAAGCGGACCTATACAATTGTCGAAACCACAATCTGTACCTGATATCAACAAATTTAACTCTCGGTCAAGCTTATCAACCTTCCAAACCTTTAATCGTCCAACTTTTGCCTAAAAGCATCATATCAACATGCAGACCTCCAAATCCAAATCTAGATATACACCTAAGTCCAAAATCACCATCTGGACCTAACAAACTATCAAAACTCTGACCTGAGGTCGTTTACTCAAAAATCAAACCTTGGTCAACTCTTTCAACTCAAAGCTTCCGAATTGAGAATTATTTTTCCAAATCAACTCTGAGCTTCTCGCATGCAAGTCATAATACATGAAGTGAAGCTACTCAAGGTCGCAAACCGACGAACGACATTCTAGAGGTCAAAATGATTAATTGTGTCGTTATAGGGGGATGATAGGATCCCCGTAAAGATAAAGTGTGCAGTTGGAACTTCAGCCTTAGTTCAGAGGGGTACTTATGCATTTTCCCCTAAACCATTGTAATAGGTTCAAATAACCTATATGGACCTATCCAAAAGGTCAGAACATAAAACAAAATGCATTAACGTAAAAATGAACCCCATGTTAAACTTATGAACTTAAAATTTTTCAAATTTCCAACTTTAAATGAAAAGCGTTAAATCTTTCCTGGACACTCGAGACCCAATCCAACCATACATACAAGTCTAAAATAATTATAGGAATATATGAAAACCTTCAAATTACCAATCTGAGCTCGTTCACCCAAAATATTGACTTTTGTCAACTCTTTAACTTAAGGCCTCTAGTTTGGAACTATTTTCCAAATTACTCTTGAACCTCTTAGAACCCGAACTAACCATAAATGCAAGTCATAGAACATTTTATGAACCTATTCAAGGTCTCAAATCACAGAACAAGATGCTAAAACTCAAAATGATCAATTGGGCCGTTACATTCTCCTTCACTTAAATATATGTTCGTCCTCGAATGTACCAAGAATCATTCTGAAGTTGTTGAATAGCCATATAAATTCATCTCACACACATTACCAAGGGTGAATTCATGTTACTTCTATCCATATAAATCCATTAACACATCTTGACTGGAGGTTCATCCTTCAACCTTAGTTTATAAGCCTATAAACCCAACAT